CATGTACATTCCCAGAACATACAGTGTATTAACTCTGACAGATTCCTGGGACATGCATGGAATGTTCATAATGTAACTCATGTATGTCCCAGGAATATGCATGTATATTGTTATGTATATATATATGTTCCAGGTATATTGTGGGAATATCATTTTGCTATGTGGGTTGTTTCATATTCAACGAGAACGATAGCGCAAACCTGGCGCAATTTCTTTCAAGAAGAAAGTGAAGAAGCTGCAACTGAAGAGCTGACTGCTGAGTTCTTCCGTTTCTAAAAGTTTTCAGTGCCCCAGTTAAAAGCTGCTGAACCTTGCATGAACAAATCCAATGAATCACCACCGGACGTGAGCCAAAGTGCGCATAAAAGCAATTGCTGTATTCAACAAATCGGAATGACTAACGCAATTTTCCTTGTCCACCTTAACAATGGGAAATCGTTAACAATTCGCTTCGGCTTATTAAGAGGACGTTTAACTCTGGTTTAACTTACTGGTGCTGATGGTTTGGGTTTCGCCCCATCGTGGCCTGGAGGCCGGGAGGAGCCCGATGTTTTCCTGCGGCCCCACCAAGAGGAGCCTCCCGAGCTTTTCACCCTGCTGCGTCCGCCTGAGGATCGCTTGGCGGTCGAAACGTCGCACAAGAACACCACGACCACCAACAGCAGCAAAGTTTGTCGAAAAATCCACTTCATTGTCACCGAAACACTGCCGGGAAACGTATACGAACAATCTGAATTAATTTAGCGAATGAATTGCTTTCAAGTGAACCATTTGTACGAAGAATGTCTCGATCAGTGGTGTTGCAAGGTGCTCGCTTCAGATCAACCTGGTTAGAAGAACCGCATAAAGAAATGGTTGGACTTTGCAGGTGACGCAAGTTCTTGTTTTGGCTGAATTCAAATTTCCGAATTCTTGGCCTTATTTGGCCGCCAGTTGAAGTCAAGTGAATAGATGCCGAAGAACCGTTTTCGTACCCCAATGGTAATCTGGAACGTCCGTAAGATCAAGCGGTTTGGTCAATTTATCCCAGGTTTAATCGCCGCTTTTGTTCGCAGCAATTTTCCAATTTATCAATGGCAAATTGATTCCTTTCCGGCCAATTTCATGCTGGAATAGTAGAGATGAAACGCGCTCTTTAATTAACTGAATACTTTGCTTTGCTTGAATCTAATCACTGGCGAATTTCGTACTTAAACACGCCCTTTGCAATGTTTTTGCAAATCTTTCTTCTTTTGGGTACCAAAAAAAACATTCGGGTACCTCAGCTTCTCAGAAACACTTTTTTTCTTCGCACACATCAACTGGTTGCTGAGAAACGGTCTGCACAAGAGCGTGATGCAAAAATAAGAACCCATTCGAAAGAAACGATAAGAAAACATCAGAAAACACTTCGACATTTAAAAATTCATTGTGAGGACATTAGTACATTGAATTGAACCAAATTTGAACCATAAATAGACAAAGTTTTTGTTTTCGAGTACTAAAATCCCCATTTGAATACCTCAACTGGTTGCTCAGAAATGGTCTGCAGAAGAGCACGGTGCAAAAATAAGAAATCACTCCAAAACACTTCGGCGTTTAAAAATTCAGTGTGAGGACACTATTGCCTGGAATCGCACCAAATTTGAACCACATATCTACAAGGCTTTAGTGTTCAAGCACTAAAGCTATTATTCGCGTACATGAACTGGTTAGTCAAAAACGATCTTCAGAAGAGCGTGCTGTGAAAATGACAAATTGCGCAAAAACAGTTCGATGTTTAAAAATTCAGTGCGAACGTACCAGTAGCTCAGATCGCACCAAATGCGAACCACATAGAAACAGAGCTTCTGGTTTTGAGTGCTAAAATACCCATTCGTATGCGTCAACTGGTTACTCAGAAACGGTCTTCATAAGAGAATGGTTCAAAAATGAAAAATCGCGCGAAACCACTTTGAGGTTTAAAATTTAACTGTGAAGACATCATAGTCTTAACTGGCACCAAATTGGAACCACATACAGACAAAGTTTATATTTTCGAGAGCTAAAATCCCCATTTGCATAAATTAACTGGTTACTCAGAAACGATATTCAGACGACCATGGTGCAAAACTGACTAACCGCACAAAAACACTTCGACATTTAAAAATTTATTGCGAAGCAAGTAGTGCCTTGAATTGCACCAAATTTCCACCAGATATAGAAAAAGTTTTTGTTTTCGAGTTCGAAAATCCTTATTGGAATACCTCAACTGGTTGCTCAGAAATGGTCTGCAGAAGGGCACGGTGCAAAAATAAGAAATCACTCCAAAACACTTCGGCGTTTAAAAATTCAGTGTGAGGACACTATTGCCTGGAATCGCACCAAATTTGAACCACATATCCACAAGGCTTTAGTGTTCAAGCACTAAAGCTATTATTCGCGTACATGAACTGGTTAGTCAAAAACGATCTTCAGAAGAGCGTGCTGTGAAAATGAAAAATTGCGCAAAAACAGTTCGATGTTTAAAAATTCAGTGCGAACGTACCAGTAGCTCAGATCGCACCAAATGCGAACCACATAAAAACAGAGCTTCCGGTTTTGAGTCCTAAAATCCCCATTCGTATGCGTCAACTGGTTACTCAGAAACGGTCTTAATAAGAGAATGGTTCAAAAATGAAAAATCGCGCGAAACCACTTTGAGGTTTAAAAATTAATTGTGAAGACATCATAGCCTTAAATTGCACCAAATTGGAACCACATACAGACAAAGTTTATGTTTTCGAGAGCTAAAGTCCCCATTTGCATACAGTAACTCGCTACTGAGAAACGGTCGTCAGAAGACCATGGTGCAAAACTGAAAAATCGCACAAAAACACTTCGACATTTAAAAATTTATTGCGAAGCAAGTCATGCCTTGAATTGCACCAAATTTGAACCACATATAGACAAAGTTTTTGCTTTCGAGCACTGAAATCGCCATTGGCATGCATCTAGTGGCTACTCAGACACGGTCTGCAGAATATCATGGTGCAAAAACAAAACACCGCGCAAAAACACTTAGACGTTTAAAAATGCATTGTGAAGACATCAGTACTGTAAATGAGCCGAAATTCTAACAATATATAAACAACGCTTTTACTATCGAGTGCTGAAATTCCGATGACTATATTTCAACTGGTTACTCAGAAACGATCTTCAGAAGAGCGCGGTGTAAAAGTGAAAAACCGTGCAAAAACACTTTGAAGTTTAAAAATACGTTATATAGGCACTTCGATGTTGAATTGGACCAAACTCAAGCCACAGATAAAACAGGGCTTAAGCTATCGAGCGCTGCAACCCTCATCGCGAAATATCCACCAGTTGCTCAGAAACCGACTTCAGAAGCCGAAAATGTAAGAAGAAATAACCGCGAAAAATTCTTCCCTTCTCTCGCTTAAAATAGGCAAATATTCCTGTATTCCACCCATGTTTCGCCAAAAGTAGTTCCAAAATCCCCCAAACGGGAAAACCACCCTGTAAACTGAAATCCTGCTTTGAGAAGGAAACTAAAATAAATCAGACTGACGAAGAAAAAACGAGGTTTTAAATTGACTTTCAGTTTTATCAACTATTTAACTGTATCAAGTCCATTGTCGGTTTTGTTTATTAATTATATTCATTGTACACTATGTAGGACCATAAACAATATGCTAATTAATGTCAACAAAATACCAGTCACATGTAGAAAGTAACCAGTTGCTAAGATTATGATGTAACTCGGCGTGTAGAAGAATATGGAATTAAAATCAGTGGCGGCGCAGCAAAATGGCAAAGGAAGAATGAAACAGAAGCAAATTGCAATGCTTCATTCAGAAGGAATGAAGAAGCAAAAATGGTTTTTTTATGTGGTGCAGAAGGAAAAGCGAATAGTTTTTTCCTACTCATAATATGGCCCCTGGCTCGTTCTTCAGTCTGTATTGAATCTTAAAGTAGGATAAAATACTGTATTGTACGTACTTTCCTGACTGTGTTTCAATTCCAAATTAAAATCAAATCCTGGGTTCTTCAGTCATTTATTGTCTATTTATCAATTAAAAAAACGTTTCGGTGTTTTCCACCA